AATATAGCACCTGCTACGCACTGTCTATGGAATCACTTGAGAGAGATTTCTACGGCTCTACAACTTTTATGTCCCCGAAGTAGATATCTTTCGAGCTTTATGCAAACAATCCCAACGTCAACATCGAGCCGGTGGTCTCTCAGATACGTTTCCCCCTCATGAGAATCGAGCATCTACTACATGTGGTGCGACCCTCTGGCATCGTCTCACCGGACAAAATACTTGACGCCATCGATAAAATGATCACACCAAATAATCTGATTTACCGAGGCGTCTTATTGCCGGAGGTGGATTTGGCCTCTGAAAGGTATCTTGCGCGCTGGACTAAGCACCCTCGCACACAGGATTTTGTCTTGGAACTGAGCAACTTCTTCGTAGTCAACTTTATTGGTAACTTTCGGAGTCACCGAAGCCATAGGGGGATTGCGTGGGAACAAGGCATAGACAGGACTTAGAGGACATGCACTTCACGGATCGTGTCGTTCGCTACATTCGCGTTGGTGGCTCTTTTGGCTCTTATTCAGACCAATTCTACCTGCAGGTCAGTTATCTTCAAACAGGAAAAAATGCCAAGATATACAAATAAACGGAATTCCTCTTTAATATAATTCCATTGTATTTCCAAATTAAAAGATGTCTATAAAATGTGCCGGCATGATTAACTCTTGGCTTAAATCAAGTGTAATTCAAGCCAACACCAAAACGAGAAAGAGAGAGATAGATGCAGGAAGTTGGGCATCTCTTATCCAGTCACCTAATCTCCAGGACGACCAGTCCACCGCAAATTGACCGCAACATTTGACAATTTTCGGCATTTGGCAAATCCGCCGCAAAAAACCGATGGACAGAGAGAGGGCAGCGCAGTTGGCGAACTGAAAGGGAAAGAATGAGAAGGCAGAGAGTGAGAGAAAAATCAAGAGAAATGTTATGTACTTTGTCTCTGTTACGGTTCCAAATCAAACAATGGTGCCCAGTGGGTAGCAAGGAAGGAGCGCTGCCCCTCCCTCCATTCCGGAATCCGGAATCCGGAATCCGGAATCCGTAATCCCGAATCGGTGGGTCTCTTCTGTACCGTCGGACATCTTAGAGATAATTGCTTTGATAAGGCCTCCGCCGCTTTCCCTTCGCTGGGTAGTCCGTAAACATTTTTTATAAATGTCGCCAAATATTTACATGTCGCAGGGATTGTAAAGCTTCACCGAGTCTTGGGGTTTCTATTTTTTTTTTTTTTTTTGCTTTTGCTTTTCGTTTTTCCCCTGAATCTCTCAATCTCGCACTCTCACACTCTCTTCTGTCTCCGACACCGTCTCTGTCTATTGGCCACTTTTTACAATGGCCCGCATTTGGCCTGCGGCTTGACTTTGCCGATTGTCTGTCTGTCCCACGGTCAGTCCTTTGGTCTGAACGTCTGGCCTGGCCATGGCCTGGCCTCCTGGTGGTGGCTTCCTGGCTGGCGATTCCCGGACGTTGCCGTTGCCGTTGCCGCGTTGCTGGAAACCGCATAAAAGTCATTGTCACAGCAAATGGATTAATTTTCGCGGCACGTTGTCATATACACCTCTCTTTTGCACTCTCACAATTACACCTCCCTCTCTCCTTCTCTCTCTCTCTCTTTCTGTCCCCCTTTGAGCACATCGTTTGTCTCTTTTTCGCTCGGTCTCGGTCTGTGTTACAGTTACTGTTACTTTTTTTTTTTGTATATATGTATATATAAAGAAATTAAAAAGCCTGGTCAGTGGTTCAGAAGAGGATGGGAATGGGTGAGTGGGTGGGTGTCTGGGTGGCATTGTGGCATTTACCGCAACAATAATTACGTTTTTGGGTTGTGGGTTTTTGGATCCTGTGATGCTGCTGGATGCTGCCACGGAAGTGTATAATGTTGCTAAGTAGTTGCGGTTTATTTGTTCTTGTTGTTGTTGGTTGACATTCCCTCCCCCTCTTTTTCCTCCTCTTTGTGTTGCCGTTGTTGTTTCGTGTTCCGTAATTATCGTGAAAGGCAACAGGAGGTTTATTTCATGCTGTAAATGCCACATAATTAAGTTTTGTTTCTGTTTTTCCTATTTATGCAAAGCACCTTTTCTAGTGGAAAACAAAAGTCTGAGATTAACTCAACATTTTTTCAGGGTAGTGCAGAGTGTTTCTTTCCTTGATTTTATTTAAATTATTAACAATTTATTTCATTCGAATGAACTAGTTACCACAATTCTGGCTGTAATGAATCTAAATACACAGCACTGATCAGGATTGTATCATTACTGATCTCTTCTGAGCTTATCATCAAGGAAGGAAGACACGAGGGTAGGGCACCTCTGAGCTCTGAAAACTTGGCAGATGGAGGTGCAGCGCAGTCATCCCTCACAGGAGATTGGAAGCAAACAGGATGGGTGGCCCTTATCTTGACTCAATAAGGCTACAATAGACAGATACTTAGCGCCCCATAGCGCAGTCCCAGCGGTGCCATAACGGGCCGATACGGAGGCCACTACCAAACCTAACCTTAGTGATCTCTAACGAATTTTTCCTACGACCCAAAGCTGATTATTTCTAAGTGTCAATCTCGCAATACATCGAAAACAATACTCGCATATACATATGTATATGGCTGCTTAGCTAATGCAAAATCCAAACCAATCACACTATGCCAACACGAAGAAAAACAGAAATTTCTGATGGATTTGTGGCCTTACAAATTTGAAATAAATTATGGCTAGTTTTTTGTATCATTAGAGGATGGATTTGCTTTTACGAAACTGTACATAAAAGCCCAAAAAAACATTTATAAATCTTGATCTGAACATCTGAAAAAAATGATTTCTTCCATTTTTATATATATATATTTTTTTTAAATTTTATTTGGGTGCATTAATTTGATGACTTTTCAGGTATGAATAAACGTCTCAAAGGCAATTCGAAAACAATTTACCACCATTTTGTGGTGTTTTTGGTTTTTTAATTTTTTTTTTTTATACTAACAGTTGGATCCCATGTCACTGTTGTCGTCCATGCGAACGAATTGAATGGCACCACAATTGTAGATTTCTGGTTCATTTCCTTTATCCTCGCCAGCCTCTCTTTGGGTCCACGCTCAATGCAGTTGTGTGCACAAGTCATGAAATACCAGAAGCCACCGCTGCAAACGCGTGAAAGGAAACAAGTCTTGGTCGATGGGTTAAAGAACCATCTTATAACTCTCCAATCGCATCCTGTGAAGTCGGGTTCCCCATAACACAGGGCTAATGGATTATTAGGAAATAGAACATAGCTTTTACCGAAGAATATTCCACGTACTTGTGTCATAATATAAAGCGTCACCGACCACAAACGTCAGGCATAAGTAAAAGCAAGCGATGCCCACCCACCGATCTTTCCAAGTGAAATCCATCATTGGTACTCTGTCCAACTGCGAATCGCATCGAAAACAATTCTCAAATGCAATTAGCTAAGGCAATTTTGGGGCACGACGAAACGATTTTTGAACAGATGTATCAAGATTTCTACATACATATTTAACTAAAAGCTTAAAAGAACGTCACATAGCCCATACTCTTTGTGTCACTGTCTGGCTGCTTTGGTGATATGGCCGTGCCCACTCAATCATTTTTCTTGCCTCCTGCATCGCAAAAAGGACGGGACGCAGCCCGCAAAAGGCTAAAAAAAAACAGCTGTAGAAGCAGCTGATGCAGGAGCCAAAGGTGAGGTGAGGTGAGGGTAGCGTGAGAGTAATTCAATTGAAGGTATCGGCAAAAGCCGATAGTAGAGCGTTAGAGCGTGCTTATAAAATTGATAGCGTTCTTGGAATCGTATTTCAAAATACTCGAGGAGAGGAAGAGGAAGTCCAGAAATATTTTTGAACATTAAAATTGTATTTAAAAGTGCACATCCACTCACGCCACCATCTCTTACTCGCACTTCGGTTAGAGCAAAGACTATACAATACCAAGATGTTGCATGAGCGACCAAAAAGCTGTTCTATGGCGGGTCCTAACATTAGAACCCAAAAGGCACGAGGGTGCGCGCGGGGTTTCAATTCCCTTTTCGCCTGTACTTCGTCTCTACCGCGACCCCGCTGCCCATCGGTTTCGTCTGTTCGGCAATTCTGGACTCTCGAGCCTCAGCACCGTCGAAGCGGTGGTCGCGGATCGCCGATCTTTGGATCCTTGGAGCGGCACAGTGGGACCTTTGGCCGTCTCAGCTTGCTAGATTAGTTAGTGAATATGAGTTCAATAAATATTTGCACACTGAAAAAATGTTAAACTTTGAGTGCTTATATCTCCTAAACTAAAACTATCTTGAAAATTCAATTGGAAAATTCTCTACTAGATGCGTACATTAAATTTATCTAAAGCACTCATACAATTTTTTACTATTTCGGCCCCACTGTGCCGCGCCAAAAACATCAGCGACCACGCTGCCCTACGGTTTCGGCAAGCAGACGATTCATATTTTGTTTTTGTATTCTTTCTCTCGAGACACACCGACTCGACGCTGACCGAGGCATTGACGAAGCCGAGTAGCGTTTCGGAGGCGAAGCTAGCGTAAAAGAGAATTGAAGTAATAGCCCCGCGCGCCCGTACCGTGAAGCGTCAAACGAAAATTGAAAAAGAATTTGTTCCTCATGCAACATCTTGGTATTGTATAGTCTTTGGTTAGAGCCAGCATAGAAACAAACCAAAGCAAAGCATCAACAAAATAGGAAGGAGGGAGGGAAGGAAACAGTGTACAAGACGAAACGTTTGGGAGCACCGTTACTCGCCCTCGTACACCTAGAAAACTAGCGCCCGCTCATGCGAAGAGCCGCCAATGTGTGCAGTGTGCTACGAGTAACGGGACAGCAACGGTTCTTCTTTTTTTTTCTTTGCTTTATTCCCTATGTTTCGGCACTCGCACTCTCTGTATTTTCTTGATACCCTTTCCGAGGCTAGATTTGACAGAATTAAGAAATTTGTTTGTTTTTTTTAAAGGTAATGTTTAATTATATTTGAATACGTTTTACACACTGGATTCCATTCGGATCCCCTCGCCATACATATGTATCTACCATGAAAGATTGTATCTATGTATGTATGTATGTATGTCCTCGGCAGCCGAAGTTGATCTTTCCTTTTGATTGGGTGAAATTGTACGCGTGTAAGAAATAGAAAATAGGAATCTTGGAAATTGTGTGCTGACAGGCTGCACCACAGTGAATGTGCAGGGACAAGGCTAAGCAAACAGGCAATCGTTGTTCTTATAGCATTATTTCACTGTGTTATTGCTCTAATAGTTCACTGTATTTGCAGCTCTTCTTGTACTCCCCTCACTTGGTTTCCATTAACTGGTTGATTGTCTTTTAAATTGGAATGCTGTGCATTTTATTCATATATACTTATACGGCTACTAAAGTCTGTATTTCCTGTAGAGTAGAGATGGGTTCGACTACCTTTCACTTTCATCAAAGGACGTAACCTTCCCCACTCAGAGGTCGCTGCTGATGCACAAAGTCACAGTGCTACTTTTTGTACATGGCTGTCAGAGACTGTACATTAGGTGCAGTTCTGATACCAATGTAGCGAACGGGTCGCTCTTCGAATGTTAAGCAATGTGTCGCGGTTTCATTAACACTTTTCGATCCCACACAATTCCAGTGAGTCAGGTCGCAAGAAACATGCACTTCGAACCTGATGCTATATGAGCCATATTGGAAAATAAGTTCAATAAAGTTGATTGCGAAAAGGTTTCTCAGCTCGAAGACTATATGATTTTGCTCATCCTGGAAACGGCGCGCAAGATGTTTCTCTGATGCCACATTCTTCTCCGGCAACACGACGACACGGTAGGGCAGATTCTTTCCGGTATCCACTTGACCAATGGCGTTGAATATTTGGTCCGGCTCGAATAAGCCAGAGGGGCGTACCTCTTGCACCAGCTGTTGGACAGTCAAAAGCGGGAGACGTACGAGCTCAGCCACCGTCTTGAAGTCCTCGCTCGGATGGTTGTCCCTCCATTTGCATACAGCTCGAAAGATATCAATTTCGAGGGCCGCCAACTTGTCCCGTCGCAGGAGTTCCTCAAGTGATTCCTTGGACAGCTTTTCGAAGGAATCATGTTTTACTATGTCGGAGCCATTGTTGTCGATGAAATTGAGGCATTCTTCAGCCCGTTGGTTGAGATTTTTGCGGCGTGCGACATCCAGTATCGTGCACACATTACTGACAGAAAGATTCTGCTGCAGGTATTTTCCTATTCCCGACTCGACGACCTGCAACCCGTAAAGATGGGCCAAATCGAGCACATCGATAATGGTGTCCACGTCCAGTGTGGACAGAGGCATCTTCCCCGAGTAGAGATATCCCAGGATTAACTTGAAGGCTTCAAGCGGCACCTCCAGCGGAACTTCCCGTTGCAATTAAATGTTATTCGGTGCTCCGCAGATTTAGTACTGCTTGCATGACCGATTAGTCAGATCGAACAACTAAAAAATGATCGGTGCGGAAACGAGCGCGCTGATAAGATAAGATTGGAGATCCCACCACTATCTACTATCGATAGGGTACGAGTAGACCTCTCGTGTACACTATGCTTATAGCATTGTTTGATCAATCAAGCATTTCTGCCCGAGAAAGGCTTACATTTCGGAGAGTAGCTTCATCCTAAACACTTCAGTGTTCAACTCCGGCGATCGTGTGCGCCGCGCACCCTGGCAGTCCGTGCTTGCCCAAAGAAATCTCAGATCGAAATTTTGAAAGTGATTTTAGATCAGCTGCGCTTTTAGGCCTCTTTCCGGCCTAGTGTGCGCGAGACCAAATTCGAAATCAACGGAACGGTTTATTCATTCGTTGATTTTTAGAGCTGGTTGCAAAATGATCTAAAAGCTCTTGCTCTGTCAGTTTAAAAGCTTCGATCGTCGAAGCTTTTGGTTTGAATATTAAATTTGAGGCTTTTGTTGATTTATTCCCTGGGACTGCTGTGACTTTTGGGATCATAAAGTCTCTGCTTGGATCCTATCCTTTTATGGCTTCAGCTAAAAATAAAATCTTTACATACTTATTCACTTTATTGGCAGACTTAAGAGTTATACAAGATCTTCTAGTATACTTTTTCACAACTTAAAAAATATACATTCACAAAACTATTTACAATGGTGGCTCTCTCAATACGTACAGATCTCCGGCTAACCAAAAATATTCTGCTTGATGGCGGGCCAAACGCCTTGACCCCGCTTCGGGGTCAATTCGTTGTCAATCTCTTTGTGATACTGCTCCCGCAGCAGGGGATCGAGGGGACCCCAGTTTTTCGTTGGAGTGAAAGCGCCAGTGATCTTCTCACCCAAAGTTCTGCCCGGATCCCGGACAATGGCCACAATCATCCACACGGGCAACTGGAGAATGCCAAAGGCAGTGATGGTCCAACCGATGCCTGGGAAAACAAAGGGCGACCATTGATCAGTGATCCATCAAGTGAAAGGTGTTTCGAGGGAACACTTACTGTACGCCCAGCCTGGGTAGATTTTGTCGTTGTAGGTCAGGGGCTCATAGGTGGCATAGAAGTAGATCAGGATTACAGTCATAATCAATGGGGTGAAGATGCTCCAGCAGAGTCGCCAATAGAGACCCACTTTGCGGCCCAGCATGAACTCAATGTCCTTGCAAAGCCGATCAGTGCCATAGATCCAGCCAATGGTGTAGAGCTCTGCAATGCCCAGGACCAAGGCAATCATTGAGGCCCCAAAGAAGTCCACTAGGGTAAGCATATACTGTCCGCCCTAATGTTCAAAGACAACCAATAACTAAGCCATTAAGTCTTAAGTATTACATTGATTATCTTACCGGTGTTATGTACATCAAGCCAATGGCAAAGCTAATGATTGCTATAAAGAGGGAACACTGCCATTGCTTGAAGTGTGGAAAACGATCTCTTATGGCCGTCACCGAGCAGGAAGTCATGGCGATGTTCGAGCCGATTCCCAGGACAAACAGCATAAGGAAGAACAGCACCGAGAAGATCTGCGGCAGCTGTTTGAACTTTGCAATGGCATCGGGATACGAGATGAAGGCGAGGCCAGCGCCGCCCTTCACCACAGTGCCAATGTCATCGGTGCCGATCTCGTGGGCCAAGTGCCCGAGGATACCGAAGATGGTGAAGCCCGCCAGCAGGGATGTGATCGTGTCCAGACCCGTGACAATCGCCGCATCCCGATGGACATTGTGTCCGAATTTGTTGAACGACGAGTACATGATGATGTTGCCAAAGCAAACGGAGAGAGAGTAAAAACATTGCGTGACGGCGGCATACCAAACTTTCGGATCCAATATCTTGCCCCACTGCGGCTTGATGAAGTACAAGATGCCATCGGCGGCGCCCGGCAGGGTGACGGCACGGATGAGGAGTACACCCATGATCACATAGGGGAAGATGGCCAGGAAATAGGAGGCCTTCCCGGAGCTCTTGACGCCGCGTCGAATGATGAGGAAGACGCACAGCCAGGCGACGAATAAGCCAATGACCAATTCCCAGTTGGGCAGACCAATGCCATCGATGATGTCGTGCTTCTCGTGCAGCACTTCCTTTCTAAATATTTCAATTGAAATTGAAAAGTGTCACAAATTAATGGAAAGATCGAAGGGTACAGACCAACCACCAATAATAAAATCATTGTTAGGATAGAAACCATCACCATACGAGAGTACTATCCCCCACTTACACAAAATACCATTCCGAACTGGTCCGAACCCGTTGACTCTCATCATTTATTGTGTAATTTTTTTGTATCGGTTGATCATCCTGTGGATCTTGTGGATCTTGTGGATCTTGTGGAAGCCAATTACGTGCATCGGGGGCGGAATCAATGCAGTTGCTACCCCACTCCTCGTGGCATTTGGCCCAGGGCAATGGGTTGCGGAATGATTCATAAAAGTATCGACCAATTATCGCCACCAGTGCGGCATAGTATGTGCTGAGCATAAACACCTGCAGTGCCTGACCGATTCCAACACCTTTCCGGATGACAGATACAGAAAGTAAAGACTTTTAAAGACACAATTCAAATGAGAGAGAGAGAGAGAGAGATAGAGCGTGGGAGATTCGTGTTATTCATGCTTTGAGGATGATTATGATTATTTTGATTCTGATTAAAGACAATGATAGTGAAAGTGCAAGAAAGAAGGAATGGAAGATTTTTTATAGAATGTACGTTTTTTAGTTCAAATTATTTTTAAGTAAATTAAGTAAATTCTTAGTTAACGAGTTGTCATTTATAATTTACTCTTGGGGCATTGTAACCTCTCAAAGATGTTGCTATGTTGCCTTAGTTGCTATTTTTTTGGCTGATGAGTTGATAAGAAGAAGTGATTAAGATCTTAGAACTCTGATCATTGGCCGTTAGGATTGGAGGAGAAGCTTACTAAAGAAATCAAATGGAACTCTCATCGTTCAAAGATTGATGATTGTCGGAATGAATAGAACAATAATCACAGAATCGATGTATTTCTGACGGAACCAATGAAGAATATTCTAGGGAGCTCTAATGTTCCTCGAACCGCTCCCCGGTGCGGTTAATAGCGTCGCGCGCCATGCAGCAGCGCATATCGGTCGGTTGGAGTGCGTTAAAGGCTTTGGCCTAATGTGGCGTGGGCATGATATGCAACGTCCAAAGATAAGCCTCTTAAAACTATCTCCCAAACAAATATTCAACAAGGAATCATTGAACCAATTACCATTAGGAAAGGTGAAAATAATGGAGTACTTTCTTGCAATGCAATCGATCTTCTTCCATCGTGAAACAAGGTTAATGCCAAGGCTATACTGTGTACAGTGATTGAGTAATTCAATCTTCAAGAACCTCCATTATTGAATGCCGATGATACTGATGATGATAATGATGATGATGTTTGCCAATTGGAGCAACTGTCACTGAACCCTCTGATGGCTGTTGCAATCGCATCGACCGATTGCGGTATCCACCAGTATCCTCTCTCAATTAATGGCAATTTAGGCGCCATATTTGCGTGTATGGTACTCATTCAATTAGTGCCGCATGCCAATAAAGCGAACGAATGCTCCCATAAACTTGAGTTGAGTCTGGGTGCCGGGATTTCACCAGAGTCACAGAGTATCGTGCGATAAGATTACCCCACAATGCACCCACAGAACACCAGAAAACATGCCCCAAAAGCAAACACACACAACGGCAGAAAGAGACCACCAACAATAATGACACCGAGACCGAAACCGAGACCCCCAGCAACAGCAAACGACAATACAAACCACTTACAGAAAATACAGCTCGGCGGATGCCACCGGCTGCTGTTGAGGCATATCCATATCCATTCGGTTATTGGCCAATTTGGAGGTGTTACCCAGACTGGAGGCGACACAGGTGGACTCCCATTCCGAGCGGCACTCGGACCACGGCAGTGGCGAGCGAAACGATTCGTACAAATAACGTAGGGTTATGCCCATTATAGCGACATAGTAGGTGGTCACCATGGATATGGACACAACCTGACCAATTCCAACACCTATACGAGTACGAGATGCGGTGTCGAGGATGGGTTGATGAGCACAAATGATGATTTACGTGGTTCAGATTCAGTTCTTTTGGTTGCTATGCTCTTGCTTGAAGGGTAATCTGATATTCTTTGAGGGTTTAAACTGTGGAAGTTGAATAACTTACTGGTATCATAGCTAACAAAAAATCCAATCTAATTTACAGAAAAATATATTCAAATCGATCAATTTCTTGGTTGGAACTATTAACTTCCAGTTTCGATTAAAATCGATAATTATCGAACAACAGATAGAACTGAAATTTTGCGTATTATATTAGATATCCGTTTACTTCTTGAAAGTATAAATATTCCCTACTATCTACGTCAAGTGTCTACAATTCACAAAAGCATCGCTTGAAATCGATAATTATCGATTGACAGCAATCACTTCTGCTTCTGGTATCTTCGCCGCAAGAGCATCAAAACCTCGAACTGAACCGAAAAAGTGAACTTTCACAAACGCTTACCTTTCATCGCTGGACACAAATCGAAAACCTTTACTGAACCGCGACTGGAAAACTGACCAATTACCATTTCCAGATAGTAAATCGGTTTGCCAATCAGAAACAGCACAATGAGATATGGTATGAGGAAGGCACCACCGCCATTGTCGAGAGCGGTGAAGGGGAATCGCCAGACATTGCCGAGGCCCACCGACATGGCGATGCAGGACATTAGGAACTCCACTCCCTTGCCCCAGGTGGCACGTTCCTCTGACAATTTGCCCGCTCCTGCCTCCTGGTCGGCATTATCGCGACCGGCTGCTGTAGCGCCCGGCACCGGACTGTTGGACTGTATGAAAGAGCGATGTTTAGTTGGCTCATAGTTTGTTTTCGGGACCAAACCGCTTACCGATATCACCACAGTGCTCGCTGTGCTGCGTCCATCGTCGCCTATAAAAGCTGGATTTTGGTGATTATGATGCGATGTTTCCATAGTTTCCTGCAAAATACAGTCAACAGTTCTATTAGCAGCGAGTTTTCAAGTTCAACTGAATGGGAATGGGAATTCTGAATTCTGAATTCTGAATTCTATTGTGATATGCTTTTTTTTCGCTCAGATCACGATTAGATGAAAGAAGCTGTATAAGTGACAATCAGATAAACCAAAAATGATCTTGAAGATAAGAAATGATGTCACTGTCACGAGCTAGAGATAAGGCTAGACGAATGGTTAGCCATATAGAGAAAGAGTGACCGACTGTCTTGGCCCTTTAGATACTGCAATTTATTGTCTGTCTGGCATAGATAATGCAAGAGGTTTTCAACTCGAAATATGTGCTTTGCAAGTTCCATTAGATATCTGTGGGGCTCCGTCTTGGTGGAGAAAAATTCACAGAATGAGAGTCAAATGTTTTGCCCTGCTATAGATTACAACAAATTAAGAGCAAATTTAATACTCATAAAACAATTAACAGGACTGTAAAAATTCGCCAACTAAGGAGTAAATTTCTTCAACAAAAGAAGGCGCTGAATGTGATTAATTTATATAATTAACACCTTATTTCATTTACCAACCAGTGTTGTTAGCTCACTGAAATGATAAAGTGATTTGGGATATATATTATATATCAGTCGTTTGTGTACCAAAATCGTTATATCTCATAAATTTGTTGCTTTGGCTGTGCAACCGGCTGACAATTACCGCGAAATATTGACACGTTTGCGCTTATATTAATTCGCAATTATTGATTTAACCGAGAAGTGGGCACGTTTCGCGATCGAAATTTTCGATCGATATTTATGAGGGTTTGTCAAAATAATTGCAATTGATTTTCTACTATTGCGTGAGTCACAAAGAATAATTGATGGAACTAATGGAATGCGAAAATCGGGAATTTCTCAACTTGTTTACATATTGTTGGAATAATACCAATGAAATTTGTAAAACTATTTTATTAATTTCGAAATAGTGTAATTCGTTCTTCGATGATTACAACAAGGGGATTTCAGTGAATATTTCATAGAAAAATCTATAATAAAGCGCTGTTACTGTTAAATAAATTTAAAAAAACCCCGTTAAATGTAAAAGACGTAAAGGAAAGTCTTAACGAAGATCCAATATACGTATATTTCGTTTAGCGCTTGGATTATCTTTCCCCTTTGAGTATTCCTTATATCTTTAGCGAAAAATTCAAGAAATTTGAAAGCGGAACAGATCTTTAGGTCCTTGTAAATGTTTATAGAACCCTTAGAAAGAGTCTATTTATTATATGCCACACTCCCAATCTCTATATGATACTCGTAAAATTTGTACAAACAAAAAATCTAATTACGAATGTTGCAACAGATTGTTTTTCAGGTAATATTCGTATCTCTTGTGTTGTAAATGCACTTTGTTGACAGATTGATGTGCGAAAAATGTAGATAACAGACCTGTTACGATCCTAATTAAGAACGTATATTGACATTGATAAATCTTATTGCAGAAAATAAAGAAAGCAAAGAAACACTAGGGTCTAGTCGGATTGGCATTGACCGATTGAAAGGGTTTAGCCAACACATATTTTACAGCTATTAAAACTCATCTTGAATTCTGATTCATTAAATATTCGTATAGAAATTGTTGTAAAATTATTCACCGCACGCAAATTGTGGCAGAACGCAACAAAAATTCCCCCCAAACAAATTGACGTCTTTAAATCCGCTTTAAATTATTTTCATTATTTTGTTGTATTTATTTTCAGAATAAAACTGGTTTTCTCCTTGCTCGTTGCTTGTTAAAAGTGTTCTAAAAAAGTTCCCCCCCCTCCGCCAACTTGGGGATGACTCAGACCCAGAGACAAGATCTATTCTTCTTTTAATTTTTGTCGAGGCTTCTTGGAATCGAATTAAGAGAATGTCTCAAGTGACGTCATGAATGTCAAGCAGTTGTTCAGGTGAGTTAATAGCAGTTTTAACTGGTTTTTAAATTTACGATCCGATCGGTTTCTTTTGTAAGAAAAGAAGGGTCGAGAAGTGTAGACAAGACAACGAAACTGAATGGAATAATGGAAGATTTTTATACATTTATTACTGTAACAATTTCTTTATATTTTAAAAAAGACCTAAAAAAAACATGAATACCGAGAAAAATTTCTAGTAATTAATGCTCACCTGAAACCTATTTGGAAGCATACAAATATGATGCTTTAAGCCACAGATGGAACCCCCACAGTTTTAATGGTACCAGTCTCTAAAAGATACAGAACATATTCGTTTCCATTCATAAAGAGCCCGCTTTATTTCCTGATTCACGCTCTACCTTTGATACAGGTATTACTTTACCATACTCTGTGTTGTGTTTGTTTAATGCCTTGTCTGTTTTAGCAAGTACTTGTATCCATAGCATGGCAAATCCATTGCAAACTTTACCTTCGTTCAGAGTCAACAAACACTTGAATCGAAACTACCGCCAGAGACTACCGTCTGAGAGGCATTAGCATGCAAAAACGTGTTTTTAAAATATGACCAGCTTGTTGCGCTGGCAGCCAAAACAAATAGACGGTAACGATCGAATCGTTAGACGAATCACAAAAATATATACACAATATACAAAAATACATACATACATATGCATATATTTATGAGCTTTTGTGTCTACATTGCGTATACGTCATCAGTTGAAAGAGCCAACCAAAAAGGGTTGAAATTTGATGAAATGCGAATCTCGGGATACTCTAACGTTGGAGTATATTTATAAAGTTTTTTTTTTTTTACTAAATTACGTGACGAAGAACTTCAGAGGAATTTTAATAGTTTTTTTTTGTACTTTCGGCGGTTTAAAGTGAAACTTAAAATAGTTCCTTCTGCTGGTTTGTTCTTAAATTTACTCTGTAACAAATGTTTATTTTTCCTTAGTTTAGGTACTTCTGTGAGTGCTTATTTGACTCATTTATTTATACCCTTTTTAAATAGTTTTTGGTGGCTTTAAAACCTTTTAAAATTAAATTTCTTTAGAATTATATTTAATTTTATTAATCAACAGTTTCTAATGGCTTTTAGATTATAATAGTAATTTTTTCAAAGATTTTGATTCGTTCTTTGATGATTTTAAAGATGCATTCTGTGCCTTGATACTTTTTACCTACAGTAAATATCCATTTATAATGGTTCAAGCTGATGGATGAGAGAAGCCGTCTTTGAAATTATTTGAAATTCAACCAATAGCCAAGTTCTGTCCTAAGACCTATTATTTCAAAGTTAAGAGCACCTTTGAAAATCTCCTGTAGAAGAAGAATCTTAAGAAATAAGACCATTTCTGGAGTATGTTTTGAGGGGTTCCATAATATTTAAAGATCGTGTCATTCCGTCGTTTCGAGGGAGAGGAATCCCTTGCCAGCTCCATTATAATCTCTTTAAAATAAACCCTAAAAAACCTTGCTCTTAGTGTTGATATTTTTTTTTGTATAGTTCAGATAACCTTATAGTGACGATTCGCACTGTATAATTTGCATGATCTGTAGTACTTCCTTGAGCGGATTTATTGGTGATTTACCTGTTGCTTCGGCTTCTTCTGTTTTGTTTCTTTTTGCTTCTTACACGTTCACTTCACAGTTTTGCGGTTCACTTCACTTGGGCGACAATTAATTTTAAGCTGATTTACAGTGGTTATTGTTGTTGTTGTTGTTGTTGTTGCAGCTGTGGTGGTGGTGGTGGTTTAAGTTTGTTGTTAAAAGGTAAAGTAGCTGGCCGCCTTTAACCGCTTTGAACCGGCACTTAGCTGGTATTTCTGTTGATCCAAGGCTATGTCTTTTTATTTCAAATGTTAAACCACCAAAAATGCAGCTATTTGTATATTTTTTTTGTCAATTGTTGGCCATCTTCTCGCACTAAACACACACGTTATTTTTTTTTTGTTTGGTGGAAAATCACTTTGTTGGTTTTTTTTGTTTTTTTTTTGGCAGAAACCTTTACGAAAACCCGTTATTATTATTGCGCTAGCCAAAAAATCGGTTGGCGCGTATTGTTTTCCACTGATCGGATCGCTGTATCTTTCTGTACACAAGCCGAGTGCTAGCAGCCAACTGAATGGGACAGGGCAAGGCTTTGATGGTTTTATTGTGAACTTGACTTCACTTCAATTCACAGGCAGGCCAGCGATCCAACGGCTCGCTCGGCACAGCGTCGGAATATAGGTGAAAGCTTTGTTGTGACCCAGTTTGAGAGTCATGTGTCTTGGCTGAAAGAACGTGCGGCTTGTGACTTGTCCGCGTGGTAGGTGCGGGTCTTTGATGAGTGATCTTTGGGCGGGTGGTTTGAGTCTATGATAACGGATTTGGAGTAGGATTTCGACTGGGAGTAGCTATAGGATTATTTGAAAGATGTTGACCACCAATTTGATAAGAATATCATTAGAGGGAAAGTGACAAAGAAAGCTTTTAACAAAGATTTCTGAAAAGGTTGAATCTTGGAAGAAATGAGATTCTCTTTTGTGATGGCCTTAAAAATTCCCATGATGCGGCTTGGGACTTGGCTGTGTAGTAGGTGCGTGTCTTTGATGAGTGATCTTTGGGCGGGTGGTTTGAGACTGTGATAACGGATTTGCGTAGAAATGACAATGGCTGCTCGAGAGGGTAAATCATGTGGGGAATGAGAGTAGATATAGGATTATTTGAAAAAAGGTTATGCTTCAATTTTATAGAAATATTCTGGGAAGAAAAATGGCGAAGAAAACTATTAACAAGAAGTCCTGAAAAGGTTGAATCTTGGAAGAAATGAGATTCGCTTTTGTGATGGCCTTAAAAATTCCCATGATGCGGCTTGTGACTTGGCTGAGTAGTAGGTGTGGGTCTTTGATGCGTGATCTTTGGGCGGGTGGTTTGAGTCTGTGATAACGGATTTGGTATACGATTTCGAATGAGTTTAGATTTAGGATTATATAGATAAGAGTCTTCAAAAAATTGAATCATGTTCGAATCTAGATTCTCTTTTGTGATGCTTTTAAAAATGCCCATTATGTAATGCTTTAATGTGTTGAAATAATGCATATAGACATTATCGAGCCATTTGGAAATCTCTAATGATGTCCTACATAAAATAAGAGTTTTTCTGTTCTAAAATATTTATAAAGTGTTACATTTACTCTGTGATCGATCCAGTCCCTGTACGTAACATTTTTTCTTTGCTGCACTTTTCCGCCCTATTCATTCTCCTCTCTTTTATACAGTCCTTTTTTCTAAACAACTTCCCCCTGAGCTGTTAACCGTTGACGTGGTCAACTTTTGCTGTGGCTTGCAATATATTTTACACAGAGGTAAACTAAAAATGTGCAATCTGTAAGTTTTGTCGGTCTCCTCTACACGACAGTCATTTCATTTCGGGCCAACAGCAGCAGCAGCAGCAGCAGGGACACAACAGCCAAAAAGCCAGAGAGCGAGAGAGAGAGAGAGAGAGAGAGAGACTGGAAAATGGTTAAGATTTCCTTGGCCAAGACTTTTGCTTAGTTTTTAATTGCAATTAAAAAGTTGTGTGCCAGCCAGCAAACGACAGAGAAAGGGGAGACACACGCACACAGAGAGGCGGAGAGAAAGAGAGGGACATACATTTGGTGGAGCTCGGCGTACTGTCCAGCAATGGATATTGTCCCCAAGGTCCAGTCATAATGACAAAGACCAAGAAGACAAAAAGAAGAAGAAACTGCTTGCAGCCCAGCAGCAGCAGCACCGCAAAATGGCCATGCAACCAATTTTGCAGCATAAAACAAGGCAACTCCTTGGCCACCACAAAACCACCAACAACACACGCTCTGCCTCTTTTCCCTCTTTTCCCTTCCCGCGAACACACACACACTCATCCAGAGAGGAGCGCCGCATCTCTACAGCGAAACACCGAAACAATTCTTCGGCAGACTTAATGATTTTTGGCTTAAAGTTTTACCAGTTAGCAGTATTTTTGCAAGTAGTTAAAATTTTATGAGACACAGAAAACCCCTTGGCACCCAAAGGCATTGTTTTATGCATTTTCCAGTGGTCCAGAGAGAAACAACAACACCCTTACTCGTCCCAGGTTTCCTTATCTTCTATAGGAAAAATCAACGACAGAGCCAGACGAAAACCCAAGACCAAGACCAAGACCAATGACGACACGACACACACAAAAAGCGAAACGAAAACTTGATAAAAACTTTTATCATAACAATTTGTGTTGTTTTCCATAGACGCTGCTACACTGGTCCTCATCCTGCTCATCCTTCTGCCGCCACAAGTCCGGCTTCTGGTCTCCTGCTCCTGCTCCTTCTGCCCAAAAATATGGGGAACAATGGGCCCAAGTGTGCCACATAGTGTGTGTGTGTGTGTGTGTGTGTGTGTGCGTAATGAGAAAAGTGTAAGTGCAACTTGGCCATTGCCCACAGCCGCCCTGGCCCCCTCCCTCCAAAAGAAAGCACAAGATGAGTAGCAAATGAATCTCACAATTTAAGTTCAAGAAGAGTTGAAGGAATTTTCTAGGGTGCAAATTTAAGTTTCGATCTTACCTGTTCAAGAGAATTCTTGGCCAAGAGTGCTTGAAGAACAGGGAAGAGAACAATCTGCAGGTTTTATGGTTATTACTTTTATATATATACATAGAATTTTTGGAGAAATCGTGCCACGAATGTAGTGAAATATTTTCATAGGTGTACATACATACGTATGTCTTTAATACGAAATAACTTATTTATTTGGTATTAAATACTTGAATACATATAGGAAAGCCATAAATTTCAGTACCACTAATAGGGAGAGAAAATTGAGGAGGACCTTGAGGAGTGAGGATCGAGAAAGAAGAACTTCGTGAGTGCGTTCACTGATCTCTATCTGATTTAATAAATTGAATATAACGATAATTACGAGAAAGGTAGCGTTGGATTTTACACATAAAATTCCTTTCTGTTTTCAGCATCCTTGCTGGGTTCTTGGTTTCTCGTGTTGCGCGTCCTGCAGCAGAGCCCCTCAGTCGTGCCGCATCGCTGGATCATTTCCCTTAAACTCCCCTTTCGTTGTAGTGCTGTAAAAGTGAACTTTTCTAAATTTTAACACATTTAAATGATAGTTTTAAAGTTCATTTCATTTTATTAATTCTATTGTAATGTTTGGAACTTTGGCCTCGGATCATCTCGCCCTCCGTTTGAACTCTTTCTTCTTTTTGGTTGGGGGGTGCGTGGAGGGGTTAATGTTCATCCGTAAAATCAGAAAGTTTCGGTTGTGCAATTTTTCGGCACATTTGACTGCATTTCCCTGGCGCTGCACAGGGCGCTGTCCTCCATTAACTTTCTTTTGGGAAGGGCGGCGGGGTTTGGCGATGGCCCAGAGGCTGCAGCGGACAGGATGTGTCCATGTCGACCGCCTCAAAGGCTCCTTTGGCTTTTGTGGCTAAACCAGAAATCATTTTACTCGTGTCTCCCCAGGAAAATCTCTGCCTCCAAGAGTACCCTCTCTACACTCTACTCCACATGTTATGTGTAAGGTAATCTCCTTTATTACTGCGGCAACTTTTTCCAGAGCAGAGCTGAGCAGAGCCGAGCAGAGTTGGTGGTAGCACACCAGACATAAAACAGGATTTCCAGAAGCTTGGACTAGGACTAGGACCAGGACGAGGACGAGGAGGAGGACTCCGCTGTCGTTTACAACTTTTGCATAACATGGCAATGGGACAAAACTGTGAGCATTACCCAAATGTTTATTTGCGGGATCTTTCTTCTCTATTTTTCTCCGAATAGCCACGATGCACATAAAACAAAGTTCTCCACATATTATATATTGGAGGAAAATCTCATAAATTACACCCAAGATGAGTGCTAATTGAAAATGATTCCTTATACAAAAGATATTTGTGCTGGCATTTCTTTAGAGAGACCCTCTTGATTATGCTAATTGAGTGACTCTCTCTCTCTCTCTCTCTCTCTCGCTCTTTCTTGCAAAAATCAAAAAGTATTCAGGAAAAGGTAATTTTCGGGACTTTTTGTTGAATACTTTTAGGTGGAAACACATATTCCAATGCCTGTCTCTCAAAAGGAATTTCTATACATTTTGTTTTACTTTTGCCTCTTCGCTTTATTTCTCACTTCTTTCCTTCATTCCTTTCGTCCGCCATTTGGTTTTTATGGCCACACGCGCAAACGCCTCTAAAATTTAATGCGTTTGGGTCCTGTACGAGGATTTTGTGTGTGTTTTGAGGGGGGTTTGGGGGAAAAGTACAGTTTCATATAATGGATTTATAATTTCCGCTCATAAGCGGAGAAAGACATTGAGAGTGGCATTTGGTCGAAGGAATGTAAGAGTACGTATTGGCTTGTATACCAGATTATTCAGATTATTGGAATCAGAGCATGTCCACAGAAGATCTTAAAATATTCCCTTATTTACCAAGCCTTAAGCTCCTCCAAAATACAATCGATTAATTCCCTCTAAAGATCGCATAATTTTTGGGTGATGCAGGAATAGTTTGAATAGTTTTTTGTTTGGTCAATGGTTGGGTTCTGCCTTCGCGCCGTTATCCTCACGCATTTTGCCGGCCCATCAATTGTGGTTTGCATTTCGCATTTTGCTGCTTTCCCCTGACTTCCCGACTTCCCGACTTGACATCGTTTCTGACTGTCCTGTGACTGCCTGTTTGTATTTTATGAGTGGCTCGCAGTCGTGGAGAGCCATGCGGCCGCGGCGTGTCTCTAATGACCCGCGACAGCAGCGGGACGGTTACGATTTTTGGGGGCACCGCCTTTCGACTTCCTGCATATTGCATTGCAGCTGCCATAAAATTTGCCATCGCGCAGCAAAAGGACAAATACGGAATTGGGGCCTCGGAAAAGTCAGTTGGCAGTGCAGTTTATTGGTTCGAAATTTTAATTTGCCAATGGGGCGGGGCGGGGCTGGACGGGTTGTGGCATTTGGTCAATCGGAGTTTTGTTGTTCTTTTTGATTTTATGAAGAGAGATTTGATGGGACCTTTAGGGAGTGGTGTTTTCAAAAAAATGAGACCTCTGCAAAAGAAAACTTTGGTCACCTTACCAACACTATTAAGG